TATTTGATACTCTACATTGTTTCCTGGGACCAATGCGAGACTTAGGAACAGTGAACTTTGTCTGACTTGGCATTTCAAAGCAACAAGCTTCTGACGTTCTTCTATACCTCAGGAACAACATGCCTCCTTCCATGTAGCAGCTGGATTTTCTTCATCCCACTTGTGATGTAGATACAGACAACTGGCTCCAAAATGTTAAAGAAAATCATGGCACTGGCTTACAAATGTAGCCATTCCTCTGTGGATGCAGCTTATTCTGGGGTGGAGGAGCTAGCTGTAAATTTTTTGGCTGGGTTATGTGCCTGCAGCACTCAGAACAGGCTGTCTGTGCTGCTGAGGAGCAGTGTAGATGTTCCCCAGGTCATACCCCATAGTGAATACTGGTTTAAACACACCTGAATCACGAGCATCTCCTAGTACTGCATAGCGGGGAGGTGCAAAAAGAGATCATCCAGCAGGGACCCCTGGGCTCTTGGCGAGTCACCAATAACTAATTTGCTGATATACCTTAGGAGCTGTTGTATGAAGCTTTTGGTCATCTTTGTGTGCTACATCTTATATTTTGCACATTGGGAACTTTTAGTCAGTGCTTGTTACCCAGAGTTACTTCCTGAGGTCTGCCACTTCTTCTGTAACTGTGTTTCTTCATTGGCTAGCCTAATCTCTCAGGATGCCTTACACCAATACCAAATCACCGCATGGTTGGAATCTATCACTGTTGAACAACAGCAACAAGGAAATGAGCAATATTTCAAACTGGAGCAGAATGAGAACAGACAAAACAAGAAGGGATACTGTAAACCTATGAATCCCTAGCAGGGAGGTGGATATCCAAGCCCTGAGCCTCCAGAGAGTTGCATGTGCCAATACCATGTTCTGTTTGAAGACCACAGAATCACAAAATGGTTGAGGTTGGAAGGGACCTCTGGAGATCGTCTGGTCCAAAATCTCTTGGTGAGACCCAGGACACAACTTTCTCCTAGTCTGCCTAAGTCTTGGAGGGTTTCATTGGATTTGGTTGGACACAGATAATTTAATAAATGATACTTTCACTGTAATTCCACAAATACACAGATAGTGGCTTTACAGCAATTTAAACTAATTTTTAAAGACTCTAAGTAACTTAGTAGTCATAGAAGTTGAGAAAAATGCCCTAAATTATGCTCAGTTTAGAAATTCAAAACTTCAAAATACTGCCTTGTCATTGTATTCAAGATATTTTCTGTACTGCATTGCAGCCCAGAGTAAATTAGCAGCGGAAGAAGAAAAGTGGGAAGAAAAATGCAATTGAATTTGTAACAAAATGGCAAAACCCAGCTTAAAGCCATGACAATCACATACATTAGCAAAAAGGACTTTGTCACCTGCATCAAGTGTTTCCTTTTCCAACACCATGGCACAGCCCCATGTCACATTCCGTCTCTGAGACACAGGTGCAAAGGAGATGGGTGGTCTGATGCAATTTATCCATGCAGCCAAGAAATAATGTTCCCTTCCCTGAGGTACAGGCAAGTCTAATCATGGGTTACGTGCTTGGCTCTCCTCAAGCCACAGCCTCCACCCATGTTGGTACATGGTTTCCCAATACCAGCCTTGACTTGTCCTCCAGGTGGCAAGTGGCCCCATCACCTCTTCGCAAGCCTCAGCCACATGTCCAAACAGAGGGCAGGCCCCCAGCCTCACCCTCTGGTTGCCTCAGTTTTTCTTGGGAGACTTCTCCCAAGTATTTCCAGTGCCATACCATCCCAGCAGGATGTGCTGCCCGGCCCTCAGCTGCATAGGTACCGCTGTCTCAGCAAGTGGTGTCTCTTGTGGAGCACCCATTTTGGTTGGAGCCAGCACAGGGGCTCCACTGAGCTGCAGCATTCAGTAACTGGCAAGGGCATGTTTGAGAATAACTCATTTGAAGTATACTTGTAGAAAAAGTGTAAAGGAATAAAGCATTAATGATGGGAAGCCTGTAGCCCTTCTAGACATATGAGGTTATTCTTATACAAGGACTCCGTAACACTGTAAATTCCAGGGTTATGGGTGAGTAAATGAGACTGGAATCTGACCCCTTATGCCTGAAAAATTCCTTAATTGTTATTAGGATGGAAATAATATAAACCATTATTTTAAAAGAATGCTGGCTGGGCTTGGGAAATTCACATTCAAATAGTAAGAAATGGTAATTTTAAGTTTACCAAGCCAACATAATCTTTCTGCACAAGTGCATATCTTATATTCAGTAAGGCAAGGTTCCTGGGGAAAATGACAAGTGTAATTAAAACCTGTCTCATCATGCATGCCCACAGGGGAGGGCAAGCTGTGATTGTAATGGTAACTGCTTCTAGCAGGTGTTTTTCTTTTAATGTGGGGTATTAAATGAAAATTCCGGTGTTTATTAACCCAAATACTCTCCTGTATGCTTCTACCAGTGCCTCTGTGATGTGTTGCAAACAAAGCTGAACTTGAACTGTATCTTTTAGCATAAACTTTTGCCTTCAGAGGTACAAAACTACCTACCTTAGCTGAGACTGTTACAGGGACCTGGAGCGCTGCTCATGCTGCAAATTCTTTTGCACTTTGTAGCTCTGGAGGTGGTTAGCTTTCCGTGCTGAAGATCTCGGGTTTGTTATGGCATGGTGGGGATCTTCCACAACTGGTGGGGGAGAGGAGCAAACACTGCCAGAAGCACTGTCATCTGTTGCCTGCAACTGTGAGAGGATGAATGTGATCAACTACATTTTTAATAAAAAAAGAGTCACAGAAGGGGAGGAGGCAGAGCTGGAGCCAGGCACTGGTTTTGGAGGTGGTTGGGGATAGTCTGAGCCAGATGTGTCACTTCAGAAGGGGAAGGTCCTAGGTCTGAAGGAGGAAGCTTCCCTCCACTCTTCGCCACACGATACTTGATAGCTCCCAGGCACCTCCAGTGCCGTGAGACTACGTGGGCTTTTATGACTTTTATTTCAAGTTCATTTGTTATTTGCTGCCAGAATTCTCCCAAGGAATGTAGACAAGAGGTGGTAAACGGTGATTAATTTAGACAACGTAAGTAGAGGACTCATGATGGGCTCCCCATACAATACAAGAAAGTTAACGGCTTGCTGATGTCCTTTTGTAGTGAATTGTGTAGCCTGGTTGTTTAATGGAGTGTTCAAAAATTGTGTTGGCAATAGCCTATGAATAATGTATACAGGAATAATGAAATACCTTACTGCTAAGAAACTGCTGATATGCCGGGGAACTTTCCATCACATGTGAGAACAATTTTGAAAACACTGTCTTCTTGGGATGCCCTTTATTTATGGTCTTGCTGCTTCAGAGATTGCATTCTCTTTTTAGATACTGCCTGTGAAGATGCCCTCCACTGCCTCCGCCTCTGTCCTCCAGCTTCACCTGATTCCCTTTGCTTCTGTCTATAAAAGCTTCTGAATTTTGATGAGTTTAGGCTTTATTAAATGAGCACTGTAAGCACAGAGATATTTGCTGTGCAGCCTTCAGCCATTCTAGGTATCTGCACCAAGACACATTGCATCAAAAGAAGATGGACACCGATTTTATGTCATGGCAATGTTCCATGATGCAGGAAGCAGAAATAGGGCCAAGTGATTTGGAAAAAAGACCAATCTTTCTTTTGCATGTTTTTGGAGCATGGGCTCCTTCCATGAGATAAGCAATGCCAGAGCGTCACACACGGATGTTCAGATTTTGATGGACTTTTCAATGTGAACCCAGCTCTGATGCCTCTAAATTTTCCCCCATGTCCTCCTCCAGTGCATGAAGCCTCTGAGTGCTTTGGCCATGAGTAGTGGGAAGTCGTCGTGATACTAAGCAACTAAATCTTGCTTGACCAAAGAGATTAGAAGATTGAGGGTGAACCCCTGCTTGCAGGGGAGCTCTGGAGGTTGCACTGCCTTAGCTGCAGGAGGAAACAGGCCTCCTAAAAGACCCCAGGATATAGCTCATCAACAGTGCGGGCACATGAGGCAATCACGGTCTCTTCCTTTGCTCCTTGTTTTGGCCCTCGGCTGCACTCCAGGAGCAAATAAAATCATAGCTTTGTTTCTCATGCGGGGTTTTCCCTACCTGCACTAAAATGCAGAAATATAACAGGAGGGCAGGTGAACAGAGTGTCTTGTCAACTGTCCAGAGTGGTCTCAGCTAAGTGTATGGTAAGACCAGACCCAGCTTGTGGGGTGTGTAGCTATGCACCCTGCCTCTGCTGTGGCTTTGTTATGAGTGGCCCAGTGCTCATGCTGCATTTTTGTGTCTGGATTTACACAACAGAGCCCTGACTCAAAATGTATCCTGCAATATGGGCAGTATATTACTAGTGTAATGCTAGAACAAAGCAACACATGACTGCTGTATATATTAGTCAGCTGAGGAAGTGACATCCACACCTGGGAGGCTGATGTGATGGGTTTTGAAGTGATGTGGTGATGCCAACAGCAAGCTCCAGGCATGAGGCTACAAGGCAAGAGAGAGAATGGGTTAGAAGAGAGGTTGTATCCTCAGGGTGATCTGCAACTAGCTAAGCCAAAGGATTTGCCAAAATGGGAGGGATGATTTGCACTTTTATTGGCTTGTTTGCTGCTGGGATATTCCTGGGGAGTGCAGTATTTTCACAGCTATAGGAAAGGAGGTGTATAAAAGGGGTTAGTCTAAACACAAGATTGGTGGCAAGGACCACCAGAGGAATTTGACTGATGGCCTAAATGTTTTCAGTAGAACAAATAAAGAGAAAAGGTATCTAAAATTTCCTCTATCTCCACCACCCAAAACCCATCCTGCCAGCCAGTAAGTGTTTTTAGCAGAGAGGGTCACAAAGGTCTATGCTGAGGATCATGGTCAAGTTCAAGCAGCCTTTCTCTTGGTAGAAATGCTGCTAACTGACAGTATACATGAAAGAACAGCTTTCAAAGGGAAGGAGACAGTTCTGTTATGCAGTTTATTCCACTGATGCTTCTGATGATCCTATTAATTTCTCTTTTTTTAATGTCTGTTTCTTTTAGGTGAAGAGTGAAGGCCCCAAACTGGTGCCCTTCTTTAAAGCCACTTGTGTCTATTTTGTCCTCTGGCTGCCAACTTCAAGCCCCTCCTGGTTCAGTGCCCTCATCAAATGTCTGCCCATATTCTGCTTGTGGGTTTTCCTTCTGGCTCATGGAATTAACTTCTTAGTGTCACACCGGAGTGCCAGCCGCATCCTAGCAGGACTCATATTCTCGGCAGTGGGAGACGCCTTTCTCATCTGGCAGGAGCAGGGCTACTTCATTCATGGTGAGTGCGGTGTCAGTCCTAAAGGGATGCCACAGTGTCCAGCTGTTACCCTCTTTATTTAGTAATGAGTTGCTGGGCCACGTGTTTTGTTTATTTATGTACAGCTTAAGCCCCAGGCAGTGGGAAGCACTCATCCCTTGACTAAAATCCATCATGGTTAGAGGAGTCACACCACGGATGAGTCTTTCTCTTGAGCTTCTCTTGAGGTCAGAGAGGTAATTGGGGCAGGTCTGGTTCCCTGGCATGTGCTCACGGCATCTCAGCTGGCTGGAGCTGGGAAGGTGGCATGGACAGAATACCTGGGGAAGAGAAGGAAATGCTCATGGCACTTGGCAGCTCCCATGAAGCTACGGGAAGTATCTACCTCCTATCTCTCTGCAGGGAGATCTGTCAGCCCTTGGCTACAAGGATCAGAAATAGGATACATGGTGCAAAGGTCCTCAGTGGAGAACAGGTGGAGAGGACCCTTATGTTTTGATAGACAAGCCTGTAACCTGGGGCAGGTGTTTAAGTGGATGCTATAAACCAAAGCCTCAGAAATCTTGTCCTACTTGCAGGTTCATCAGTATGAATCATGCAGCCTGTTGTACAAGACATGTCTGATTTGCAAGGCTTGTAAATGATGGGGAATCAAGGACAAACCTTACCACAATGGCCTGTCTTCTCTACAGAAAGATCCACATCTCTCAGAGCAAAACAAGCTTGGTTTATTTTGCTAGTTTGCAGACTAGAACATAATGATTTAGATTAATCATTTAAAGCCACATTGAACCTGCCTGCAGCAACACTTTCCCTGGGCTTGGACTGTCACAAGAAATCAGCAGCAGTGGAGTCCTTCACTAAACTGACTGGTGGGGTTTCTGCAGTTAATTTAACCAGCACAGGGATCTCACGTTAACACCCACCATTAACTGGCTGCTGTGACTGTCCCACTGGAAAATGTGATGAGACGAGGGAACTTTTCTGACTTGTGCTGTTGTCAGCTCTGAAAGTCAAAGGCTTATTTTTCCCCCTCTCATGAGGTCAGTATTTAGTTTTATTCTGGGATTCCCACAAGCTCTTTCCTTATGAGAGGGAAGTGTGTGAAATGCCAGATATGAAAGGCCAAATGCTCTGAAGCTGGTTTTAATCCTGCTTCCCAAAGGCTTATCCCAGTCTCATTAAAAGTTCATGTAAAAATTTATACTGATTTTGGTGGGGTTTAGATTAGGCCCTGAGGATTGGATCCATCTGGCTGAACCTTGGGCACGTTGTTGAGGAGCTCCCGCCTTCTCTTGGTGTGCCATCCCCTCGGTGCTCAGTGTTGGCGCTCCCACCAGCAGGCCTCCTCCTAGCAGGGGTACCCAGCTCAGTGCAGGTCGCCTCAGCCCGACTGCTTGTGCTTCGTTTTTGCCTCCTGGAGTTGCTCCTTGAGCTGTGGCTTGGAAAACATTCAAGCCCTGATTCTCACCATGACCGTTTTTGTACATGGACTGTTCTGAGCTTCTCCATTCCCACGTGGCTGGGATATCTCCGAGTTGCCTCTCCAATTTAGTGCTAGAGGAAGGTCAACCAGTCAAGGCCATTCAGTATCTGGCTAATGTGTTTTAATCTGCAAATAAGTTGGATTTTCAACCCTAGTCTCACAACTAAGAAGTGTTGCTTTGTGGGTTTAGACACATTTTTCTTCTTCTTCTTAAGAAGGGCTCTTTTGGAGCATTTTGAAAATCTCAGCCTTCATCCTGGCCATCTCCTGCCTGCCTCAGTCCATGCTAATCTGAGCTACCATCTTCCGTAGTGAAGTGTTCACATTTGCATTTCAGCTGTTAGCAGATAAAGCGCACCACCCCACTTCATCCTTCACCTCTCCTGCAAAACGTATTTTCTCCTATTTAAAACTCAGCAGGCTGCTGTTGTTGACAACTGACAATATTCAACCTTTTGACATCATCGTTTGTGGGAATTTGAAATTTCAGGAGAATAAGAGGAAATACTAGATAAAAATGTACTTTCTGTTCAATTTCTATGGCTTTCAGGCTGGAAAAAAAGGGGTTGGGAACTGGGCTGATTTGAATAGCTTTTGAGACAATGAGTTTATAAAAGGACATTTGTTCATTACTTTATAGGGAAGTGAGAGCCTGGGAACCTACTCCTGGCACACTTGACTTTTTTTCATTTTTGCTGTTTCAGTCCACTAATAACACGCTATTTTCTGACTAGTATCTTACTGCATGTGGAAGATACTTTACAGTGTTAACATCCACCTCCTTTGATAGGAGGCACTTAGAAACAATTTATGCATTTGGTGAAGAAGACAGGGACTAACAAAAAGGACTTCTTGCCAGCCTGAGGGGAAACTCCAGGGGCAGGGAAGGGGACGGAAGCCGACAGAGAGGAGAAGGGCTGATCTGCCTGATGTGGTTGGGAGGGCCAAGCCAAAGGCTGAGAAATGCGGGAGAAATGCACCCTCCCTGTGCAGCCGTCACAGGTTTCCCCAGTTTGTGGCTTGATTTATGGGTGTTGAATGAGCAAACCCGGGAGGTGACTCTTGTTTGTGACCAGCCTTATCACATATCACAAAACTCCTTCTGCCTTTCTGGGCTTCTGCTTGGCTGCCACATCCTGTCATCTCCTTCTCCTCCTCGTTGCCAGCTGCCTGCATGAAGGAGAACATATTCTTCAGTTTCCCATCCCAGAACTCTCCATATAATGCCATTGAAGGCAAAGCCACTCCTCACTGCTAGGGCAAAGTAACCTTCTTCTCCTTACTGCCCCCAGGGCTCTAACTTTTCCTGCACCATAACAGTTCTTGTCCTAAATCCCTCCTCGGTTTCCTCAGTGCTGTGCCCATGATGTGTAATAGTTCTGTAAAACATCAACTTCTCATTTCCCTTCTTTGCACTTCTCTTCCTTACCCTTCATACTGTCCATTTTCTCCAGCCTCACTCGCAGACCAGATCCCTGCCACCCCCCTCCCTCCTGCGGGTTCCTCTCTCATCCCACCATGGCTGAGCTTTCAGTGGATGTCCCATCTGGTCCTTCTCAAAGGCAGGGAGACACTTCCCCTTCTTTGAGCTGCCTCAACACGAGAGTGTGAGGATGAAGAAATGTCCGCCAGCAGCAGGTTTTAGTGATTGACCTTTACACCACAGCATCATGCTTTAAATGTAAAGAAGTCTCCTGCTGGAGCACTCAGCTTCCCAGATCCTTTTCTCTATTTCATGCTTTATTGCTGCATGAAAACTTCCAGCTACTCTAACAACCCTGCCAGGATAAAGTGGGACAGCCTGCAGCTGCACCGTGTGTGGGTCTGGGAACCAGAGGACCAGGACTCAGTTTGGGGCCCATTATCTACAATTGGCATGACAACTAGTAGTCAGCAGCTGTACCAACACATTGTGACATTTTTTTGTCAAATGGATTAGTGGCAAGTGAATAACATGGGCAGTACCTTCCAACACCCACATCTGGCATTTTTCAGGGGTGTTGCACTTCAAAGGGAAGCCGGCATTTTATTTTCACTGATTGATTCCAGCTAAGGTTCATCTGAATCTTGCAAATAGCCATAAAATTTTTGGCAGATCACATTGGTGCAGTTCCTGAAATATGCCAGCTGCCTCTTTCCAGCTTAGGTTTCTCCTAGTTATGGGCAGAGATGGAGTAAAAGCCAGATTCAGTGCCTGAGTGCCTTTGGGTTTCTGGCTAAATACAGTCAGGCTTTTTGTCTGGGTTCGGAGGGATTGGTATCTTTTTTCACGTTTTGTTCCTACACTGCTCTGATACCAGCCTTCCTGTTCCACATGTGACCTATGAGCAAAACACTTCGGATAGTTAGAGGGGACGATCTTTGGTCTGCCTTGCCCCCACCCTTCCATCCAAAGCAGGCGAGGAGGAACCACCTGAAAAACAAGCTTTGTTTTTCAACAGCAGCTTAGCTCACCTGGCCCCTCAGCAAAAAGGCTTGCATCGCACAGAGCAGTACTTGGCTGCAGCTGTAGATGCGCTGGGGCTTTTTCTTAGGGTGGGAGCTTGGTGCTAAGGCCAATCTCCTATGCACGGATTTTTATATTACAATGGTCCCAAGTGGTCAGTATGGTTCCCATATGTTAAGGGTTGTACCACTGCAAGTACACCTAAGCCTGTGCTTGTTGGGGTATATTTAAAACCCAGTATAGCCACATGTTTTCTTCTGCTACCAACTGCCAGTCACTGATGAAAGGTCACATTTGCTATGTCAATGCCTCTTTCCAGGTCTGCTGATGTTCGCCATCACACACATCCTGTACTCTTCAGCCTTCGGCATGAAGCCTTTGGACCTCAAAGCCGGCTTGTTGATGGGCCTTGTTTCCAGTTCCTGTTATGCCTTCCTGTACTCCTACCTCTCAGGCCCATTCACCTACCTGGTAGCTGTCTACATCGCCTTGATTGGCTTCATGGGCTGGCGAGCGGTCGCTGGCATGCAGCTCTGCAACGACCTCTGGACATGGACCAAGCTCTCGGCCTGCATCGGCGCAATGCTGTTCATGGTGTCGGATCTGACCATTGCACTTAACAAGTTCTGCTTTCCTGTGCCCTACTCGCGCTTCATCATCATGGCTACTTACTATGCAGCCCAAATGCTTATTGCACTATCAGCTGTAGAGAGCAGAGATGAAGAGGACTTCAGAAAGAGGAGCTAGGTGGAGTGCCAATAGTCTGTGAACAATGTGGGTTATATCTCAGGTGCTGTAGCTGCATTCACCCCTGAGAGAGATCTCCATTTCTCTAGGCACATTGGTGATGTTGATTTTGCTTCTTTGAAGCGTTACCTTTGGGGCTTTTTTTTCAATGGCTTTCTCTGAATACAGCTTACTTCAGTGTGGAGTCCACATCAGAAAGCTTAGACTGTCCCTGCAGTAGCTACTCATTCAATTTTTCCTCCTTGGAAGTGGTGTACTACTGCATTTTACTTATTAGTCTTGAAACTGATGCTGGATGTCTGGGAAGAGGAGGGCTGATGGAAAGGAGGTTTGGCCATGCACTGTGCTAGAAGACTTGCTTTCAACAGTAGGCAGACAGGCACAGATCTCTGCTAAAATCATAGGTAAAAATGAATTTAACTGGTTCGTCTCTTTTTGTGCATTACAAACTCGGTACACAAACTGGAGCTATTGCCTCTGCTTAAAGGAAGCCTGGAGGTAGAGTAAAAATGGCATATCCAGATGAGGGCTGAGCTTTGGAGTCAACGACAGCATGTGGGGCAGCCCCCAGCAGAACCAGAATGAAGGCAAAACACCAAGCAGAGAGCACAGAGCAAGAGGTGTGCCGACACGCAGTGCTGTGTGCTTTGATCGCTGCTGATCACTCCTCCAGGGCAGGTCTATAGGTGCCTGTCAAGTGTTGCCGTGTGTGGCAGAACTAGGAGTTTGGTGGGATTTCAGGGACATCTACGTAGTCAGGCCAGTGCGTTCTCCCCCGCCGTGCATGCAGTTACGCTGTGTCTGCAGCCACCAGTGACAGCTGAGATGTAATGGGCAGCACATGACGAACTTTGATTTTTACAGCA